AGCCGACGACAGTAAATAAAGTGCAATGAACTCTGAATGAGTTTTGTCTTACACTAGTACAGTTCTAGTACAGTTTAGTCTTAGAAATGGTGCTGTCAATACCTCAAACGTTGGCCTTGCTGTGTTCGATCACCACAGAAGGAAGAGAAAACACCACCGAACTGTTTGGGTACATCCTATTCTGGAGAACAGACAGCTACATGGAGCTTTTTACACTCTATTTTTACAGTTGAGAAACGAAGAAAATACGTTTTTTGAATTATTTTTAAATGTCTGTTCTCTCATTCGACAAGCTACTATCGAAAATTACAGTGCAAATACAAGGACAAAACACATACATGAGACGCTGGAAAGGCTGGATTCAGTGCGGCACAAATTTGTTGCCAGCTTCTGCTGTTTCTCATTTTGTTATTGTCTTTGTAAATTTCCAAAGACCTATCACAAAGTTCTGGTTTCTCATGAACCAAACTAATAAGTAAATCCATATCAACATCTACCATGATGATATAGAAAACTAAACAGACTAAAAATAAAAACTAAATTAACTAAATAGCAAAACAAAACTAAATACACCACTTGGACACTGCATTAAAATCATAAACAACCACCACTCTCGAGGGTTGAACCACGACTGAGGAGTGGGGGCAGTGGCGGTCCGGCTGTTTCGCCGGTAAGTGTGTTCATCTCCATAAGGCACAATGCCTCGCTACCCACTGCTCCGGCGAAACCGCCGATCCGGCGAGGTAGAGAATATCCGGCGGTTTCGCCGGAGCATTTTCCCGCCGGATCGGCAGATTCGCCGAACCGGAGAAGTGTGGCCTGCCCCATGCTTTCCTGTGTATCTCAACTTGCTCCGGTGCCGCCAGATCCGGCGTCCGGCGGTTTCGCCGGTAAGTGTGTCCCTGACCTCACTTACCAACATAAAATTATTGTGTTTCTGTCTGTTGTCAATAATTCTTAGTTTCATTAACTTTCTGTCTAAATTTAAATAAATTTTACTCATAATTTTTTTTATTTGAAGTGCTTTTGACAATAAAATTAAAATAAACTTAAACCCCTCTTTTTTTGTTTAAAAACTGCAAAATTTTTCGGGGGTAGGACCCCCAGACCCCCGGGTGTTTGCCCCCCCCCCCCAAGGATTTGGTGAAATGACGCCACTGGCTTGAATGTTATTGTTATGCTTTAAAGTATTTTCCTAACCTAGCTTTTGTTTGTAAAAGAACCTTTCTGTTAAACGATGAGTGAAATGGATAATGACAAATATTGTACGTAAACCCATGTATATTGTCGGGTTAGGTAAAATCTTGTACGTTACACGTTGCGCAAGAGCATGTTTACATCTCTTAGGTGAATTATACATTCACCTGCGTGATGTAAAAACGCTCTTACTACACTTGTAATGTAAATAGCTATTAAAAGCTATTAAAGCTGGTTTACTTTCACCAACTGTTTTGTAGGTTTTAGTGATGTGCGATACGTATCGTATCGGAATATCGCGATAGACGATACGATATTTGAAAAACGATACGTATCGTATCGCCTAAAACGATATTTGTATTTATATCGGCACATAGAGCGATACGATTCATGTCAAAACGATATTTTTTTGCTTTTTTTGCGCAGGCCGAGAAAATGCAAAATCTGTACTCTGTGGATGTGTAGTTTGAAATCTAGGAGTTTTTGACGTCTGTATTTTTGGTTTTTACTTGATAATGTACCAGTCCTATCCCAGTCCAGTCCAATTCCACTAGCGTGCTATCTAGCACTAAAATGAAATGAAAAACGTTTATTTATCCCAAGAATATAAACTAAAACAGAGAGTAGCTATACAACTAACAGTACAATATTTCTAAAATAAATAAAATTTGCCTTACTTATGGGATAGGCCTACATGGGCAGGTGCCTGTGCGTAGGCCTGGCTGTTATCAGTCTAATCAAATTGAGGGCACACACTAAAATTTAAAAAAAATCTTGCAGTGCAGAGTGTGGGAACTGTCTGTGGCAATTACATTAGGCCTAATGTATCTGCAATCCTAAAATGCTATATGGGAAGGATAGGGAAACAGGTCCAAGACGTAGGGAGTTGTGAAGGAAGTAGTAAAGGCGAGCAGTGTGGAGTGTGGAAATGGATTAATGTATCTGCAATACTAAGACTGTTTTCAGAGTAAACAAATGATTTTCCCCGAGCAAAGCTTGGTCCCCAGGTACTTATATAAATTTGCCGTTTCTAGGTTAGGTAGGGGAGGGGGAAAACGATATGATACGTATCGATACATAATTTAATAAATGATACATAATTTAACTAAAGTTAGTCTAACTTTATTTGTTGACTTACCTGACTTTAATATTTGGGCCTGTATAACCTGGCAGCTGCTTTATAGAAAGCATGCAGCCTTTCTTTATCTGGATTCCTTATCTTAAATTGGTACTCCGCCAAGTCGCCTGCAGGATTTTTTGACTTATCCAGGCAATAAGGTGTATCTTGTACATCGCCACTTCTATTTGCTTCAATTAGGGAATCTCCAGAGTGATTCAAAGTTAAATGTTGGAAATCATATTCTTTCAGTTTGCAGCACCACTTCGAACTGGGCTTGTTACTATTAGTAAAAACATTGGTGCCAGGGAGTACCCAACGCTTGATTAGTTGCACTAGTTTCTTCATGGAAATATCAGGGACTAGTATAAAAAAGGTATTTTTTGTCCCTCTTTGAATGCCCCCCAACACAAAGTTCTTTTTCACTTGCCTAAATTTACTCCTTCTAAAATTGGCTGCAACAATGTCAACTACCTCACCTGGCCCACCTAATCTTTTTGAATGAACAAGACAATCATTTATCAGGATCTCACGAATTGCATCAGCCCATTCCAAAATGGTTTTAAGAGTGAACTTCAAGTTTGTTTGAATAATCCTATGCCTATGGCGGGCTGGATCCAGAAACAAAAATTGGCTGACTAACTGCCAAAGTTTAAAGGTTTTTAATCTTGATTTGCCATAAAACGTATTTACTCTAGCAGATACAGTCCAATTGCATCTTGTAGCCTTCTTCTTGTTGATACTCAACATCTTCCAACACCTAAACGCCCATCCAGAATTCAATTTTACTACATTATTACATCTGAAACAGTTTGTTTGGCTTTTAATAACTCCGTGATTAATTAAAAACTGCTTGATATCTTTTTCATCCAGATTCATTGAATCTTCATAGTTTAATTCACAATTATTACAAATTTCAGTCATGAGTTAGGCCTATAGATTTGACTAAAAATGTATGTAAGTTAATTAGCCTGATTGTATCATTAATGAGGAATCCGATGTAAACTTAGGCCTACTTTTAGCTCATATCAATCCAAGAGCTAACAAACAAGTTGAACTAGGCGGGCGTCAGGCCTAACTCTAAGTAACCTCACTTAGGCCATTGCAACTAAACTAAAAGAACTAACTGGCTACTTACTTTACTAACTTTTCAAAAACAAAATGTCTCAGCAGATGAGAGAAATTCACTAGAAGGCATGAATGGTTCGATGGTTGACATATTCATATTAAGGTTAAAAAGGCGCATTCTCTTCTGTGCCCCTGGGGGGGGCGACAAACCGACAAACCAAACGACATACGACAAACAAAAACAAACCAGAAACAGAAACCAACAACAAGAACCTAAAGAACAACAATGAACAAAACAACCGGAACAATAACCAAACCAAAACCAAAACAGCCTCAGTCCTGGGCCAGTAGGGTTTAGGGTTTCTCTGCTCTCTCTGGATAGGATAGGAACATTAGGAACGTCAGTACTCAGTAGTAACGTCACGAAGAGCAGAATAGAACCAAATCCACGGGCTCCAGGTCCAGGCCGTGGCCTTCGCGAAGTCGCAACGTCACAAGTAGTGTTGGTTTTGGTTGGAAACAGCTAATGTTATTAATATTTGTTTTTACTTTGTTATTACTATTGTTATCACTATTTGTTATTAATATTGTTATCACTATTTGTTATTACTTGCTATTACTATTTATTATCACTTTGTTATTACCATTGTTATTACTTTTCTAGTTAGTAATATTGCAAATGCCATCTCAATTGTATACACATATTTTGTAAAAAGGTGCAATCCGTTGGGAAATAAATAAATAAATGGTATTTGTGTATTTACGTTGGTATTTACGAAAGATTGGTTACTGGAATATGACAATATTGACTCCACTTAAAATGTTCAGATATAGATTTTTTATTCATATTGTTTCGGGTTTCAATTCTGTATGTTTTATTTTCAATATTGTAATAAATTTATGTTCCTAAACTTAAATTTGAATTAATAAAGTGTGAATTAATTAGCTGATAACTGTCTGCCATGTTATCTTATGGGACGTCTGTCACTAAACAACACCACTTGCGACGTTGCCAATTCCATCAGGCCGCGGCCTGTAGTTAAAAGTGGCCATGACCAAATCCATCCAACAGTCCCAACCCCATACTCCCATTCATTCCCCTTTCCTCACATTATTACCCCAACTGCCCAACATAACACTAGCGTATAAGGTTCCTTTAAAACCGATGAGAACCTCTTCCGCGAAGGAGTGGGGGATTGTGCCCCTCATGTCAATTTAAGAAAAATTATAAAATCAATTTTTTAATTATAAAATTAAACTGCCATAACCTAATCTACCAAACTTGCTGCTATTAATATAAAAAAGATATAAGATAAAAATCTAATGAAGCCAACTAATCTAAACAACTAACTAACCGAAAAAATAGTTATGTTTTTATAACAAACTTTCGCATGGCTCTTAACGCCAAACTACATGGCGTTATTGTAGTTTGTCATTTAATACTGTGTCATCAAAATTATTTTCTGTATAGGCTCTGTAAATTTCGTACAGTATTCCTCTAATGTGTCCAATTTATTTGCTTGTGTGGAGTATATCGAGGCCAGTGTTCAGATCATACATGTCGTGATTTTTGTCAACCAGGTGTTGAGCCAGTTGAGCAAAGGATGATTTTTGTTTGTCGGCTCTTGGACATGGGTGATGTTCTTTGTACCTGGTTTCGAATGTCCGTCCAGTTTTTCCTATGTAAAAGCTCGGGCAACTAGCACATTTTAATTTTGTATACACCTGACTTCTCACTTTTGTCAACAGAGGTAACTTAAAACCATTTATTATGTCTTATAGCTCAGGGGCAGACAAAACAAAAATGTTTAAATCTATTCAATAATGCTGCGATGATTTCTATTAGCTGTATTCGATGATGATGTTTTGATCAGATGTCGAGATTACTTAGTCCCATGACGAAAGGTCTTCAGCTTCATTACTGTAGTATGTTAATGATGAATGCAGTACAGTTCTTGTTCAAACTTGTTTTTATTGTGTTGTCAAATCTTGAATAATTATAATTATTTTATTCTGGTAGAGGTAAGGTTTATATTGTATTGTCATTCTTCTTCTCTGTATCTAGATTAGATTTCATTATGAGGTTTATATTTTAATCATGAGGTGAAAATGTCTTCAGCTATCAAAACATGGCAATTTTATTTGCCTAGTTTAGTTTTTCTCTGCTATAGCCCATGATTAAATATGATTTATAACACTTAATTTTTGCTTTTAGGACTATTTCTATCGCTATATAAATTTTTGTTTCTAGGTTCTTTGTCTAACACCGTCATATGAGTTAGCCATACAAATCGTCATATGAGTTAGCCATACAAATCGGCAATGTTGCTACAAAAATGTCTAAAGAATGCAATGACATCAGGATTCGCTTTGCAGTTAGAGGGGAAAAAGGTATGCCTACACTACTACCAATTGTTCTTTATAGAACAATCCATATAGGAATTTAGTGCAGTTATGTAGTTTCGATTTGTCACTCTTGGATTTTTTAATAGGCCTTAATATTGATATGTCTGTATTAATATATAAAAGTTGGGTTTGCAAGTTAATGTGTCACAATTTTACTTTCTCTCTACGCACACACAAATTGTTTATGTCAAGCTAACGAGGGAAAGAATGTTTAAATTTGCTGGTACCCTTCATTTAGATTGTAATTAAATACATAATTTGTTATCTTGTTTTTTGCAGTGGAAAGAAGTGCACGGTTAACTGACCACGTCATCATTGGAACGCCTGGAAAAGTGGTCAACTGGGCACTAAAATTCAAATTTTTTGACCTGAGACGAATCAGAGTATTCGTTCTTGATGAGGCGGATACGATGATTGGATGTGTAATTAATGAGTCGCTTTTACGCCCAGGGTCACCATTATCAAACCTTCTGCAATAAGGTTAGTTTTCATCACTTTGTACAAGCTATTTAAAAACGGCTGATTTAAAAATTAAATTTTCCAATCTTTAATTTAGAGCTAGAGGAAAACGATCATCTGATTTTTCCTTGCTCTCAATTGTTCCTCTATTTTCTCACTGTATGCAGCAGGTTTTTTTGCTGTTTATTTAAAAAAATAAATCATCTGTTGGGTACTAAAAAGTGTTGTTATATACTTAAGATGTTGATTTTGCAAACTTCAATCCTAAGAAAATATTCAGCCGTTAAATTAAAAAAAAACCTTTCGTAAAGTCAAATCAAATAAAATCAAATCAGTTTTATTTCCACAATATATAAAAAATGTACAATTTTTCAAAAAAATAAAATACGAATATAATATATAGCCTTGAAGTATTAATACAGTATATTGTTTACGTAAAATAATTCTAGTAAAATTAAATTTATAAAGTTATAATAGTAAAAACTTATATACCGTACTAGTAGAATGTTTGCTCCGGCTAGAATAATAACTAATGTAATAGATAAGGGAAATGAGTCTACATAGACCTCAGTGGTCTGTGCGTAGACTCGAGTTGTTAAAAATTATATATTTTTTGAGCTAATTTGCAATTGAAGAAAAAGTTTAAAATTAAATAAAAATTTACCATGTGCTATGGGAACGTGTAAAGATAAAGATAATTGGAAGACAACAGATTTTTCAGCTTTTGAATTGATATAGGCCTACTAATCATTTTTCAATTTTCTTTTTCGTTTTGAGTTGTCAAAACTTGGATAAAACTCTTATGGTCTTTCCTGCCAATTTGGTTTTATGTTAGTTAAATATCATACAACATCCATGTTGTTAATAATCCATTAATTATTCTTCTTTGTTTATCCGTTAAAAACAGATTTCATGAAATAGAGCTGGTTGGAAAGAAACATGATTATCTTACAAGAAATCGAGGCAAGTTAGCATTAAGTCCTCATAAACTGCGCCTTTAAAAAAAAAAACCCAAATACGCCGGAACAAAATTCTATAATAAACTTCCAAAGGACATACAAGCAGAAGTAAATATAAAACAATTTAAAAATAAACTTAAGAAATTTCTTATTAGCAGGGCTATTTATTCATTTGATGAACTGTAATTGACCTTTCTTTCCCTACTACAGTAGAGTCCCGCAAACTCGGCACTCGATAACCCGGCAGTCTGGATAACTCGGCCATCACCTGGCTCGGAAAATTAGTGATTTTTTTAGTCCAAGTTAATCATGGACTCAAGCCAGCTTAATTCAAACTATTTGTAACTGGTACTAAGGATTTGTTGTACTACATCTGATGACTTAATACTGACTTGTAATATAAATATAAATAAAAAAGGCGGTTGAAAAGCTTAAAAAACTGTATTGTTTTTATTTTTAACCCTAGTTCCCGATAACCTGGCATTTCACAAACTCGGCACCCTTCCAGTCCACATTACGCCGAGTTTGCGGGACTCTACTGTAATCAAAGTATGTTTTAACTGTTAGTTTTATGTTCTTTTACAATTTTTCTCATTTACTATAAGCATGTATATTTTATTATAACTTATAAGAAATGTGACACAATTCATGTATATATTTCTAATGTACTTGATGAATAAAGATAATTTGAATTGAATTGAATTAACATTTAGGCTCGTCCAAGCTGAAGCGGGACAGCGGCAGGGGCGGGATAAATTCCGTGCGGGATTTTAAAGCACATGGTGATAAATGTAAACACCCTCACAAGAGAGGTACCGCTGCCGTCGTCGCATTGTTCCATCGTCCCGCCGGTTTGAAACTTGTTGAATTTTCCCACTCGCACCGCCGCAGGACTACATGGCTCATTATGCCGTTTTAGTATTCCCTCTGTTATCAAATCAAGGAGTAGGCCTACATCAAAACATGCGATGGTCATTCTAAAATAAATATAAAACCGCCATTCTTCTTTTCTTAAATCCAGCATAAGGTACTCGCCAAATAAGTTTATGGTTTGATCAATTTCATGAAACCAAAAAGTTTCAACTTCATCTTCATGCTCAGCTGTTGCTAGCATTTCCCTAAGCTTTCTTTTTCTTGTGGCCTCAGAATCATAGCTTGAACTCATAAAACACAATAATATAAAAATTAATTAAACTAAGCTGAAAATGACTGAATAGACATCCTGCTTTCCTCTGCCTTCCGCTTCGGTGTGGACTACCCCATTCCCGCCTCATACCGCTGCCGCTCGTTACCACCGGTCACTCACCCACTTCCCGCTTTCGCCGCTGTCCCGCTCCGGTTTGTACAAGCCTTCTCTTTGGTAAAGTATTACATTTAAATTAATGTTTATAAACATTTTTTCATTTGTTTTAATTTTAGAGAATTGCCTAAGGAGTGTCAGATGATGTTTTTCTCCACGACTTACAATGATTCTGTAATGGATTTCGCTGAAGCCATCGTCTACAATCCTGTCCTAATAAGACTACGGCGAGAAGAAGAATCCTTAGACAACATCGAACAATACTATGTAGTTTGTTCAAACCATGGGGAACAATACATGGCGATATCTAACATTTACGGACTCGTGACGATTGGCCAAACAATTATATTCTGTTGTGTAAGTACTATAGTTTAGTGTGGTTCCAATATTTGTTTATTCGTATAACAACTTTTCATCGTCACAATTAAGGAAATAATTTTTTTATTGAGGTTCATCACAGCAGCAGAAGATTGTGACAAAAGTCATTTGAATTAAATAGAATAATTAAGAAGTGTATTTACCCTTAATTCTTTTATACTAAAACTTGATTGGTGAAAAAAGGTTTTTTGTGTACTAAGGGGGGGGGGGGGGGGGTAATTAGGGAATTAGGGATATTTTGGACAATGTTATTTTATATACCTACATAAAATAACTTCTAAAACAGCATATGGCGTGTTATAAATTTTATGGAAAGTAAATAAAAATACTTTTAATAACACTTAAAGGATATATTTTACACTCATACTGTCTTGTTAAAACTGTATACATATGATCAATAAAAGTTTAAATTAACCCTTTGCGGTCATATTTATTGTTCTCTTCTCCTTCCCAACAGATCAACACCTAGTGGCCCTCTCCATTTTGTTTTATGACGCAACATTGTCAGCGCTGAAAGTAGCCCCACAGCTTGGGTCGGCCACGCATAGTGGCCCTTCATGCGATTCCTGTTCAGCACGGCTGACCACCCCATAGTGGCTCCAAGTTTCTCTTCATAATACTCAGGGGTGCCCATCCCCCCCTAGACTCATGACGCACCCCCCCCCCCCCAATTGAGCTACAACCCCCCACCACAAATGAGGTACACAACAAATGAGAAAGATTATTTCCCCGCCCAGCATTATTTGTAAAAACTAAAAGAAGTTTTATACTTTTTTTTAGATATTGAAAATTCAAATGAGATATAATAAAATAAAATATCAAATTCAAACCCAGTTAATCTATATAAATAAATATGTAGTTTTGTCTGTACATTGCTCAGAATTATACATATTTTGGGTTATTTTTACGTTCCATACATTGAAGAAGTTGAAACATGTCTTATCTCAATTTATGTCCGTCTGTCACGGCCCAGATGGTATTTTACGCAGCCTACTCTAAAGAAAACTAGGGTACCAATTATGATTCTAATGGTTTAATTGTATTCACAGGATTGGCGAGAGTGTCCTTAGCCATTAAAATATGGCCTCACTATATTTGGAAATAAAATAATGGACGATCAAAAACACAATTTTGTGTGATTTTTCAAGTTTTTTTCTCCATGTTAGTTTACTACATACTTCATTTATGAAATGCTAATAATCTATTAAGAGAACTCGTCATATATGAAATTACGAACAGCTGTTTTGGTAAAGATTCCTTTTTCTAGCTGTCACTGATATGTTTACATAAATGTTGTTTACGAATACTGTGTAGGCCCTAACCATTTCCGATCACGTTTGTAAGCAAATCCAAAACCAACGCAAAGCAAAGTGAGATTAATAACCGTGTGGCTTTGGCTCACATAACGGGTTTGATTTATCACGGGTAATATGTAACTGTAAATTAAATTAAATAACTAGCCATCATCCAGGTCGGGAACCGGAGATTCTGTGTGTATCAAGTTGTAGGCTACTTGAATTTTGATTACCGGGGAAAGACCGTGAATTAGTGTTGTACAGGACTGGAAAACTTATCTTTCTATATAAATAAAATTAGAGTTTTTTAAGTCACCTCCATTTAAGGAATTTATTATTGTCAGAATATAGCGTTTGTAACCTCTGCTTAACGAATTGTCAGCGTCTTTCTCTTGATTTAACGACCCCCTATCCCTCCCTTTTAAAACATCACAGCTCCTTTGATGAAAACGAAATGGAAACAACGCTTGCGCCAACAATCGTCTGCTCAGTCTGTCTGCTGTGCGCTATGTTACAACAGATTTCAGATACAACAGCTGGGGAATAAAGGCTCTGATTGGGCAACGAGTAGGCTTAAATAATGGTGACTTGTATGAATTGAAGAGAAACCTAAAATGACAGAAGAACAAAGAAAAAGAATAACAAGATTGTTCTCGTTACATTCTTTTTTTAAGAGTATTTTTAGTATCTCTAAATATAATATTACACTTTTTTATTACTTATCTATCAATTCCTATGTTGTGATACAGCACCTACCGGTAATCAGTATACATGAGCAGTAACTTATAACACTTTCTAAGGTTTAATATTTACGTTATTTATAGCAATGCAGTGTTGGCTAGTTATTAGTTGAGTTTGAGTTAGCTATAATTTTAAACGTTGCCGTTTGTACAACTAAACCAAGATAAATAATTTGAAATGTCATAATTGCACAATAATAATGATTGTGCAATATTGAATTTCGTTTATAAAAATGCAAATCATGACGGGCTGTTTACAGCGTTTTTTATTTTGTTTGGTTTGTCATCTTTTTTTATACTATATGGGATTAAATAACTTCTTGATCAGCATTGTACGTGTTATTAAATTTACGGAAAGTAAATAAGAGAAACATCTTATAACACTTAAAAGATATATTTACGCTTATATGGGATTAACCATATTTTTCATTACCTCCTCCCCCCCCCTACTAGCTCAGGTAATCGAGTATCTACACAATAGTGTAAAGTATTGTAGCCTATGATACTTGATTGTATTTTAATGAGCTTTATGTCAACAAAGCGTTTTGTGCTGAGTCGCGGTGTTGCTGGACGTGTCTGTACCAAACGTTATCTTTTATCTATCACAGCAGTTGAGCCATTCCGTGCCCTCCCTCTTAGATCTCACGTCTGTCTAATCTTGAATAATAACTTCCTACACGAATCCTAAACTATCCTAAAATCCTATTTTAACTAATTGAATTCAATAATATAACTATTGACATTAATTAATCCACTTTCTATCTGGTGCCTTTTAAAATATTTTTGATTGCCGTCACGTTGAACACTGTTGCAATTAACTTTAGCCACCCCCCCCATTTGAATTTTTGCAACCCCCCCCCAAAAAAATTTCAATGACGGAGGCTGCGTCACAGCCCCCCCTTGTGGGCACCCCTGTAATACTTAGCATTGTAGTTTTGTTTTCTATTCTCTCCGCTTGGGAGTTGCCTCGACATTCATCAGAACTATCTGGAGACAACAATAAGCCATTGTATTTGAATTAAAATTTTGAGTTTGAACTTGTCACATCACGGATCTTGTTGCCACACGTAGTGGCCTTCCGACCGCTAAGGGCTAATTCAATTAAAATCTAACTTGTGATATTAATAAACAACATACAGCAAACAAAAACAACAATACCATAGGTGAAACACGAACTACACTCCGTGAATCTAGTTGCGATATAGAAGCACTAACTGTACGAACAACAAACAGTCCATAAGAGTCCTTGGAGGCTAGCGACAATCTTGGATAATTTAATACAGCTGATGAAGAGTTAATTATCATCCAAAAAGATTTTTCCATAAACCAAAGTGATCATAACCTTAACATAGGTTACATAGGTTAACCTTAACATAACCTTAACAGCTTAACTAGGGCACTGTGGAATTAAAAATTTTCTGTGTAGCTTTTTTTCAATTGTTTTATGAGTTAGAACATCTAGACTCCAAGGACTCTTAAATGTAATCAGATACATCAAGTCAGTTGACGCTTGCAATTTTTTTTTTATTTTAGCAGTTGGTACCATACACAGCTGTAATACCACAGCTGTTGGGAGTTGTGTTTAGTAATTGTTGTTGTTTAGTTTGAGGTTATGTTTGATAGTTATTCATGATAGTGTGTTCATTGTTATTCGATAAACAATGAATAGAAAGTTAACAACAGAACAGCGTGTATTTGTTTTGCAAACATGGTGGAAACATGGCCATAGTTATAGTGATGTGTGCAATTTGTTTGTAGAACGTTTTCCGAATGTTCAACCTCCATCTCGACAGTAAATGTTGTTTTTGAGTTATGAATTAATAATATACATGTATTCCATTTTGTTGTGTATCATTTCATTAAATGCAAATTTGTCAACTGACTTATGGGCCACCCAGTATAATCCTTCCTTTATACATTGCCAGTCTGAAGCACCACAAATTGTAACGTTTACTTATTTGTAGAAGAGGCGCACAGCTAGTCGGCTAGCAGAGAAGATGACTAAGAACAGACACACGGTGGCGCTACTGACGGGAGAACTACCAGTTAGTCAGAGGCTCATGACATTGAACCGCTTCAGGGAGGGAAAGGATAGAGTACTCATTACCACCGATGTTCTTGCCAGAGGTAAGTATCATGCTTAGTTGCAAAATTTCAAAAAAATATGCAAGTTAAGTGTACATTTTACAGTAATCATTAAAATATTTAGCTTGAGGAGGCCCATAATCTTGCGGGAAGACCTTAGAGTTGCTGTTTTCTCTCGCTGATGAGTCACATCCACTCTCATGCCACTTACTGAGCTGTCTATCACAGTTGAAATGTCAGTTGTCATGTTATGTACTCCATCAATCTACATTATTAATTCTGTTTAAGCGAATTTTTTCAATCAAAATTGTAAGAGTTTGACAGCTCGCAGGATGATGGGAGAGGGCTCAAATTAAAGGTCTTGGCTCCAGGTAGTCGCCCAAAAATAGCAGATTATGTCCAAATCTACCAGAAAATAAGAAACAATTAAAAATATCTTTCTTTTAAGTTGCATTGGGACTGTAAAACGTCTGCTTTGTTTACTTTATACATGTGATTACAAATGTACATAATCATTTTTATTCGACTTTAAATTCTTTTAATAGAGTGTGTGAAGATGGTTTAAGCCAATAACTTTCAGAATTATATAAGAATGTTATTGATTATATAAGAATAATTTGTTTTACTTTTGATCTTTTTAGGGACTTATGTCATTATATTTTATATTGATGTGCTAATTCTGGACAGTTTTAGTTTTATTTCAATGAATTAAGATGAGATAATTTTTTTGTATATTTTTTTATTACTAGGCTACAGGCTCATACATAGGTTCCAATATAATTTGTTTTGTAAATAAACATGTATGAAACTAAGTTCAAAACAAACGTACACTATACTACTTGCTGAAACGACGCCCTATAGCTATAACCAGCAATTGAATGAGCTGTTTCAATTGTTTTTATTTACAAACTGACGAACAATAACATTGCAGGTATTGACTTTGAAAGTGCGAATCTCGTGGTAAACTATGAGCTTCCTTTGATGTACAACATTCATAGGAACCAGAAATACCACGCCGATTGTGAGACATATCTGCACAGGATAGGGCGGACAGGGAGGTTAGGCAAGGAGGGGATCGCCGTCAACTTGATACACTGTTCTCAGGCATTTAAGACACTGAGACAAATCAAGGAGCATTTTGGTGAGTAATTGTTAACTAGCTGCTTTACCCATGCTTTTAATAAAAAAAATCTTTTTTTTGTAAAGATGGATATAAATCAGGGATTTTAAGGTTTTCATCATAAAGACATTTAACAGACTTACCTTACTGGATGACTAACTTATTTTTTTAAAGTCTACTGTAGAAAATAGAGAATAATAACACTCGCACATTCTTGAAATATAGAAGTAATAAGAGGTGGCTCCAGAGGGCAGGCCAGGCAGGCACGGGCCTACCAAACATTTTGGTGGATATAGATATTCAAAATTATTAAGAAATAAAGTAATTTAATTATACAGGGTTAGTAAAAAGTGTGGAGACCCCCTGTTATTTTTTTAACGGCCCATACTAGAAAAACTTAACTCGGCACACCTTTATGGCATGCTATGAAGTACTTTTTGGGCATAACCGTCACTTGGTGTACATCCCCAAAATGGGGGATTTTGGGGGAAAACTCAAAAATTTCAAATACACCTATCGGGTGACCCCTCATTTTGAAGGTCCTGGTAAAAGAAAACCAAAAACGCAAACTAGAGGTCATTATCTCAATCCAGTAAAAAATGGCAGCCAATTGAAATTCTCAGAGGTTGAATTTAACTTGCAGCTTTCCTAGTCTGGAGACCCCCTGTAAATTTTGTAGCGGCTCACACTAGGGAAAATGAACTCTACACACCTTTTTGGCATGTTATGAAGTACTTTTTAAGCCTAATAGCCACTTGCTTACCAAACCCAAAATGGGGGATTTTAGGGGAAACTCAAAAGTTTTAAAAGATAAGCCCCATCAAGTGACCCCTCATTTTGAAGGTCCTGGTAAAAGAAAACTAACAAAGCAAACTAGAGGTTTCTATCTCAATCCAGTAAAAAATGGAAGCTGATTGAAATCTTTAGTTATCGGAAATAACTTGCAATTTTATATTTAATTGGCTGCCATATTTTACTGTGTTAAGATAGAGAGAGACCTATAGTTTGCGTTGTTAGTTTTCTTTTATTATGACCTTCAAAATGAGGGGTCACTCGATGGGGCTTATCATTTAAAATTTTTGAGTTTACCCCAAAATCCCCCATTTTGGGTTTGGGAACTTATGAGAATTTCAATTGGCTGCCATTTTGTACTGAACTGAGATAGAGACCTCTAGTTTGCGTTGTTGGTTTTCTTTTACCAGGACCTTCAAAATGAGGGGTCACTTGATGGGTCTTCGTATTTGAAATTTTTTAGTTTCCCCCAAAATCCCCCATTTTGGGGATGAACACCAAGTGGCGGTTGTGCCCAAAAAGTACTTCATAACATGCCATAATGGTGTGCCGAGTTTAGTTTTTCTAGTATGGGCCGTTAAAAAAATAACAGGGGGTCTCCACACTTTTTACTAACCCTGTATGTAAATAAAGGGAAAGCATTCAAACTAATTATTTTGCATTTAAATTTTAAAATCTCCTCCTTTTTGCAAGGAAAGCCCTTCAAACCACTTCTCCCCCAATCTAACTGTTTCTTGATCCTTGTCAGGCCTACCCCAAATAAATGTTCCTGAAGCCGCCCCCGGAAGTAATGACAATTTGACCTCTTAGTTTTATCAAATTTAAATTTATTAAAATTAATCAATGTGGGGCATAATATTAACACCATTTTTGGAATAACATTTAACAAAATGTGTATTGCATTAGGTTGTTATTATTATTTTATTTATATTTTTTGTTGCAATAAAGTATGCATTCAAATACTTTAGCCCTAGGCCTACCTCATTCTTTATTATTGTCAAAACATTTTCAAACAATAAAACACATTAAAAGTAAAAAAATATTAAAACCTTTTGCGATTTTCAGGGTGAAATAGGCGCCAATTGTAAAAAGTGTTCAAAATAGGACAAATAATGAGAAAACAAATTTTTTTCAAAATCTGTTAAAAGCCCTTAATGTAAGAAAATATCGAAACGGATGTTTTATGTTTGTTGTTCTTACATCAGTACATAGTTTCAGTTCACCAATTGTAACTTAGTTTTTTGAGAATATCTGAATAAAGATCATTTCAAACAGTGTAATCTTCTTTCAGGCAAAGAAATAGAACGCCTTGAAATCGACGACTTGGCCAGTGAATTGAATTTGAAGACGGAAGACATCCAATGTTTTAAAGCTCCCATTTTACTAAGATAGGCTACTAAACTCAAACATAAATTTTAACTGCAGTAACTTGTATGAGCAAGTGTAGCCTTACTCAGCATTAGACTTTTAATTAGGGTTGAGTCAGGACACTCCTCTTTTTTAAGAATAATTCCCTTTTGTGTTTGTCAAGTTTTTTTACCTTGATGTACCGGTATACTTAAATTTATGAATAAAATATTTACTTAAAATACAGATTGTATATTTCATTCTCATTCCTTGTTTTAATATTGCTATTTTTAATTATATTGTTTCAAATGAAACTTGAGCTGGAGACACTTTACGTCCTAGTGATGAAATATACTATTTTACAACTTGTCATGGTTACAAAACCATAGTGAAGCTGTTTTCACGGTCTACTTAAGACTTCCTGACTTCCTTTCAATACAGCCTAGCGACTACAACTATTATGTCACACCAAATATGGTCTCAGGAATTCAGCTAGACACCGAAAATGGGCTTGGATCAATTTTAGATTCAGATTCAGATTATTTATTTGTCACAATACATTTTCCTCCCCAGCACAGCTGGTAAAACAGGTGTCATGTCAACATCTTAAAAACTAAAATCAAAATATACAAGATATACAATTTTTTTTGCAAAAACTTAATCGAATGCCTCAACTTTATATACATATTTACATCATGTTACAAAGTGTCACATTAGATATCATTTATACAATAGTATACTTTGTTTAGCAGCAGGGAACTTCTTTCTTAAACTTATGATCATTATCAATATTCTTTATCCGGTTTGGTATCTTATGATATAATTTTTTCCCAAAATACTGAGGCAACTTTTCAAAGGAACTTAATCTATGAATAGGAAACTGGAAATCACTTCTGTTCCTAGTTTGATCATTGTGAATATCTTCCATTAACATATTAAAGTTAGATTTGTCATAAAACAGACATTTACTAATGTACATAGATGGTAGTGTTACAATTTTGAGTTCCCTAAAAATATATTTACAGGATGTTCTTGGTTTGGAATTTGTCATGATTCTAAGATATTTTTTTGTAATTTAAAAACGGACTCCATACCTAAACTACCTCCCCAAAGTTCAACACCATACTGCATTGAAGAAGCGAACAATGCATGATATACAATCAATCTCGTCTGTAAATCAGTAATTTTTTGCAGAACAAACATTTGAAAACAAAGAGAATTTAATATATCTATCAAAATATCAATATATGTCCAGTTTAGTTTGACATCAACCTCGAGACCCAAGAACTTTGTTGACTTTTCAGTAGGGGAATGTAAGTTGCTGGAAGTCAACAGTCCCGGAAGATCAAATAATTTATACCTGTGCCGCTAGGTCAAAAACTACAATGTTTGCAGTGTCTGTAGATCAAAAGTCCCAGTAAGTCAAATAATACAGTCCGAGCTAAAAACGTGGTCTATGTTAAAGCAATTGACTTATTGGGAATTTGACCTAATGCAACAGCAGTTTTAATATAACGAAATACGGTAAAATACAAGTTCAGTTTCGCTGAGTCAACAGTGCCGGAAGATCAAAAGCAATAAAAGTGAACGTCGATTCAGTGTAAAGTAGACCTCCTGCAACGCTTACTACACCAACAAAACTCGCTTTTAGTTACTTCGTGTTTTGTCATAATTAGAATAGAGCTAAAATTATCATATTTGGTACATAGCTTATCTATTAATGCTTCTTGCCAACTGTTTGGTCAACACTGTAAATAGGTATAGTTTATGTAATGAAAAGCCTTTCGTCAAAATTTGTGGCATAAAATACACGCAAGGACGATCTGAAAATTTCTGGTTATTATATACGTTTGTAAAAGGAGATCCATTTAATTGTAGAACTATTTTAAGAGTTATAATGTAGTCTACATATAAACTGTGTTAATGTATTACGCCTCGGAAGGGTTGAAACCTGTCCAAACTATCATATATATTATTAAAACGTTAATGGGTTTTTTCACGATTCTGAATCAACCAGACAATGGATTTTATTTAGTTTTGTGTTGAAAGAAAGACAATTTTGAGAACTAGGGAATTTCAAAGCCATAATTTAAAATTAGTGTCCCAGTTTTTTATAAATTAAGTTTTAGTTTTTAAAAAAATTTGTTTTGGTAATGCTACTTTTCATTTATGTCTACCAGATGTTAAACAGTTTTCTAGTTGATATGAGCACACTCTGTAGAGTTTTTTCAAACAACTCAAATCTTGCTCAACATAGTATATTTTAAATGTGCACAAATGATAGTTTTATCTTTGTGGTCTAAACTGAGATGATTTCTAATAATATTATTGGGTAATTTGCATCGACAATCATTTTAAAAGATTTCCAAATTAGCTTACAAACAGTTGGTAAAACATCTATGATCCGTATACATATAAAACTACTGAAAGTATTAAAATCAAGTTCTTAGATCTCATTATTGAACATGAACTCTCATCAATACATATTTGTTATTATTTTTGTTATTCTTTGTGTGCAACTGGAGGCTTATTCCTTTACTTGATTGTCTCATTGTCTGAAATCCTCACACTTCCTTAGGGAAGTGAGAGGATAATAATAATATGCCAACTTGAATACCATTTCACATGATGGTGGAAGGGAAACGGACAGAGAAGCAACTGTCAACCCCATGTCCGAAGAATTCGCAAGGGTAGGATCGAGACGCGCCTCGGTTCGACTCGTACAAATAAGGAACCATGAACTAATCTCCTATTTATTACGAGGGTAGAAAAATACATGACTGGTTCATAAACTCCATTAGTCACGTGCACGTCTCACAGACTACACCACTGATTCTGGCATTTCCCCTAACTTAATTGATACCAAAAAAACATTTTGTCAACAAACGTCTTGATTATCATGACACTGAAATTAAATATGATTCCTAAATAGTTGACAGTTACACTTCCCGTATATTTCAAAAATTTTCATTTAATGAAATTACGATTGGTAGCAATAATAGTACAATACTTCATACTTTACTACACGATGAGGTTTTTAGGATATCATACTCATGAAGAAACCTAGCTAGATATTATTAATAATTTTACTCACTATTCCATCCTGAGTTGAATATGTTGATACTGCATCGCCATAAATGAAGATGTAATGCATTGTTTCCATGGTTTTAAATTATTTTTACAAATTTCAAAATATAAACAGTTTAGTTGAATTACCTAGTGACAACAACAGAATTTACTTTCTTTGTTTTTCTTTGCTAACATTAAATCTTTTCCCCGGACCTACCCTCTCGCCTGTAAGTGGGCGGCATATTGGAGAATCCACGCCTCCAAATAGTTAAATTTTTCTAGGGAATGAGAAAAAAATAGTAAAATCGAATTTTCTTGAACTCGCTATCGAAAACATCCCTCCTAAAAAGAATATATGGAACTTGTATCGATCTGGATTATCGCTTATCAAGATTATCTATCGTTCTTAACTATCAGGACACTACAAAATAACTATACCGTACTTAGACAATTAATAGGGGCCGATCAACTAAAACCCACGTTTGATAGTATCAGACTATAGATGACCACACAACTAATTGTCTAGTAAACAATACTAAATCCATTCGGTTTGCTTACGTTAAACAATCGAGGTGTGGACAATGGTTAATTATAACGTTTCATAGAATAATTGAATAAACATAACCGAGAGAGTTACATATATCGATTAGCATTTAAATTACCCACATAGCGGTTGTCTGAGTCTAAATTACATGCTCACTATTACATGTTCATTTTTCAAGTTTGGTTTACCTTTCTGGTCTCTACTCTACATCCTACTTAATTTTATTTCACTTACCAATGATCTTTTGTTACTACCTTTAATTTTAATTACCTTTTTTCCCGTAACACTATTTAACTATTTTACACTTCTTTTCCTTAACCTATAACTACCACAGTAAATAGACAGACATAAATAGATAGATAGAAAATAGAATAGTATAAAGAGATACATCCGTGTATGTTATGTGTTGTGAGAGAGTGTTAATTAGTGTATTTAATGTTTCCTTGTCCGTCTTGCCTTACGTTTGTGGCCACAATCCGTAGGAAAGACTATCTCCTGCTATTTCATTGTGAGTGTTATAACCAAGGGTTACTTATAACATAAAAAATCATATAATAAAATGATACTATACACTCCCTGTGTTATACCTGACTAGCTGTAACCCGCGGGCTTTGCCCCGTTTAACTTCATAATTTTCAAGATGATCTCGTTTGCATGGCTCAATCACGTCCTGGTTGAAGTTTGTTCGCTACGCTCACTCACCTTTAGGTTGGAGCTCGTTCGCTGCGCTCACTTACCTTTAGGTTAGCTTGTTTGCTACGCTCACTTGCCTTCAGGTTAGCTCATTCACTACGCTAACTTGCCTCCATGTTGAAGTTCGTTCGCTATGCTCACTCACCTTTTGGTTGCAAATTAGCTGTTGTCATAAATGTAAAAGAAATAATAGTGCTGCACCCTGTTGGTAATCCTTGTAACTTTAATGCTATTGAACATCATAGAACAGAACCAACTTGTTTAATTGAAACAGCTGTTAAGATTCATTAATTCCATTTCTCATAAGGTTAACATGGGAAACTCCAGAGCCACTGGGGCGGAGCCGATTGGACGGATCACGAAATTGATGGTGTATAAGCCTATTCCATGAAATTCGACACGTATGTACCAAGTTTCGTGGCAATCGGTTCAGCGGTGTCTGAGTTTATCACTGCCAAATATACAAACATCCTCTTTTATACTTATAGATTTATAGAAAAATAAAAAATATTGAACAAAATAAATTTTCACTCTGAATAAAGCAGATGTTGGGAGGAACATTTTGTGTGATATGTCTTGGATCAAGTCACCAAGGGTCGCTTTCACTCACGCTCATAGGCCCTCAGAAAAGACATATCTTAGACTTAGTTGAGATCAGCTGACCGGAAGTGTATTTATTGGTCCTTGTGTTGAAGGCATGTAAGAAGGGGAAAATATATCTACTCTATGCTATGTTGCTTAAATTTAAGTTAAGGATGTTGGCTTGGCTCAGTACTAAATTATTCTATGTATTTAATGCTCTATTTTATTGTTGGCATACCCTAAACATGGTTACGGAGTACCTTATTTTACCTCAGTGGTCACTTAAAACAAATGATTTTGGCCTCCCATTCCCTTATTTCCCTTGCCTGTTCCAAGTCTGGAAAAGTCTTTTATTGTTTGTTTCTCCAAGTGGTCGTCTTACTTGTGGTTGAAATAAGTTTTTACAATTTAATGTATCTTCTCTCCTCCACACATAGCCTGTCCATCCAGAGCCTTTTACTTCTGGAAAGCATCCATGTATATGGGTGTTTAAACATTCCTCTTAGCTCTCTGTTCTTGTATCATCTCAACTACCATGATCTTATAATGGCCTGTATATTTTCTCTGTACTCTATTCTCAAACCCAGCAATAAGGTTTTTCGGTTCTTTGGTCAGGGCCCAATTGGTTTTTACTGATACGATGAAGCTTATTGGGCAGTTTTCAAGAGACCTACCACACCAATTGACATTTGCTTAAACTAACTGTTCTGAATTGAACACAGTTTTAACTGACTACTCAATTCCCGTACGTAGGGCGGGCTAGCATCTAGTATATATTGAGACAGGGTTTTTTTTATTTCACGATTCTGAATTGACCACTTGACGGATTTTTATTATTTTTGTGTTGAAAGTTTTGAAAGAAAGATAATTTTGAGAACTAGGGAATGTTGAAGCCATAATTTCAGTTTAGGGTTTTAGTTTTTTAGAAATTAAGTTTTAATTTTCAAAAAGTCTAGCAGCCTACGCTAACATTCTAGTATAGCTTTTGGTGTAATTCAGTTTGCTTGATCTAACAGCTGTAAACATTCAGCATATTTTGTAAGACAAATTCAGGGATCGCTTACAGCATAGCTCCGTCTAACAAGGAGTGAGCCAGTACAGTACAAGGGTGAACTGTACTGATGAATTTTAGTGGCAGTGTTTAGGTTCCGAACCCACGACATCGCTGCCTTGGGCCCGAAGTCCGCGACGCTACCGACTGAGCCACCGACTCACCAAATGTCAGCTGTGAGATATCACTCTACATGTTTGAATTGGTCTTAGCAGCTTTTTGTTTGCAATAAATGTTTGACTGCTTAAATTTAGTTTGGATTAGGCCTGAAAATGCTGATGTTATCAAACAAGATCAGGGATGATCAATTATGATCAGGAATCACGATTTTAAAATACCACCACAACCTCTAGCAGGTTTTATACAGGAATAAAAAGATGGACGAAAAAGATTGAACACGATGTTATCATAGACCAAGGATACTATAAGTATACTTTTATACATTAAAACGTTGTTTGGAGTGCGTTCATGTGTGGTTACATTTAGGGTGCTATGATATCACTTTTATTTCAAGTAAATATCTTATCGTTTAAATAAATGAATATGGGAAATTAGGTTGTACAAATATTCAATGGGGGGTAATTATCACGGATATTATAACGGAAAACGGTATGGATAATAAACAGAGATGTCACTAGCTTACTAGCGTGTTCACTTTTTTTAATACCTTCTAAAAGTTCTTTTCCAAAAATATTATTTTGACTACAGTTGTATCAAATCAAACTATTTGTTACTGTTTTTACTTTTCTTTGTTTACTTGCTTATATTTAGCAATTAATGCAGTGAAATTATTATAAAGGATAAATAATATGGACGATGTATTTAATAATGTCAGATGTATGTCGGCATACCAAATTTTTGGTCGGTATAATATAACTGCCACAGACGGTTCCCACACTCCGGACTGTTCGCCTTTACTACTTCCTTTATCACTTCCAAAGTCGTGGACCTGTTATCCTCCATTCCCATAGCATTTAAGTATTGCAGATACAATAATCTAACTGCCACAAACGTTTTCCACACTCCGCATTGCCAGCCTTTACTACTTTCTTCATAACTTCATACGTCGTGGACTTCGCCCCTCCCCATAGAATTTTAGTATTTTAGATACAATTATTTAACTGCCACGCCATAAATGTTTCCCACACTCCGCCCCTCTCACCTTTGTTACTTCCTTCACCACTTCCTACGTGGACCTGTTTAAGTTTGCTATTTACAAGATGGATCCATGAATGTGATTCAATGTCGAATTGTTTAAGATAAAATGTTATTTGTTATAGGCCTACCCTTAAGCTACGTAAATCAAATCTGTTAATGTACCTAAGAAAGTATATTTATCTATGACTGTACCTATTCGATCAGTGGTCGTTTCCAAATTGCGACTTAAATGTAAATCTAAGACTTTCTCTGTGGTATTTGATCAGTTGTCATAATCCAAATTTTTTTCCTTTAGGTACTGTGTTTAGGGCGTGGCTTGATTTTAACATATGCTATGATTCTTCTTTTTGTTTACATTTACGTCATTATTTTGTACTCATCGTGGCAACCAATGTAAAAATTTAAAAACTTTGAGTTACTTTAAAATGATATAGGCATTATCGAAAATTGAAATTGGTTAGCCTACGTCTAAACCATCCAAACATTTGACAAAACAAGCCTGGTAAGTTTGGCTAAAATAAGTTCAGCCATTATTGAGATTAAGTGTTATAAAGATTGCATTGAAGTTGATCCCAAAGAGCTTCGCTACGCTCTGCTCATTTACTAAATTAATAGAGACTTGATCACTATCTGCTAACTTCGTTGCAAGCTAAGGCGTACCACAAGGTTCTTATCTTGGCCCAGTCTTGTTCTCAATCTTCATAAATGACATTAAAGATAATATAAAGGTACCTTTTCTACTGTTCACTTATGGCATAAAGCTGTTCACGTAAGTCAACTCTCACACTGACTGTCAACTACTTCAAGAAGCCTTCGACGTCGTCAGTTGGAGCACAGCGAATGATATGTAAGCAAATCCTGCCAAAATGAAAATTATAACATTCAGCAGGGGTGGGAGCGAGCTGGTCTAGTGGTAAGAGCGAGGGACTCTGGTTCCTGGGGTCCCGGGTTCAAACCCCACCAAATCACCAATGGATTTTATCTAAGTGATAATGCCGTAACCCTTAGGTCTAACCTGAAGTAATGTGAAAAACAATTTCGGGATCGTGCCTACCGTCCTAGGGGAAAAAGTAGGAAAAAGATTAACTTGGAAGCCGAATATTTCCTCGACGGGAACCGGGTGGAACGGTGCAACACTATCAAGGACAAGGACCTGGGCTTTCTGATCAATATATCATTTGAATTTTGACTGCAGATAAGTCATGTACCAGGGCGTCTCGCATGCCGGGATTGATCACTCGGATATGGGTTTGCGCCAATGCCTCAACAGTCATGCTCAAGGCCTTAGTTTGTCAGCTGCTGAAAACTAAACAGATCCAAGCAAGAAACAAAGAGTTCATCCAAGTTGTGTACTGAAAGGATTGTGCTAGGTTTAAATTAAGATTAATTAAGCAATTGTCTGATAAAATAGAGGTGTGTAAGAATAAAAAAAAACTTTTAAAAAGACATATTAGTTTTATTTACAAACAGTCAAAATGATGGTTGTATTTTTGGCAACATTCACTTACTTATGGTTTCTTTTATCCAGTCCTTGTAAAAAAACACATCCACATAAAGGGCAGGGTAAGTTTCTGGCTGAGTGCAGTCCACGGAGCCTTGGTATAAACCAACTACTGTCAGTTTCCTGCTTAGCGGTGCACCAAAGTCAAACTGTAATTATACAACAATATAAACCATATATAAACAGACATTGACTTCTAGCTTAAAGGGATAATTAATTTTTCTTGACAAAAATATGTGAGGTGACAAACAGTTTGTACAAACTAAGTACTAAATGGTACATTCCTGTTTACAATCCTACTGAAATAATAGGTCATAAGTGTAATAGGGATAACATTTTGTTTTCGTCATTATGTTTGGGATTTGGTGGAAATACTCGTTTTGTGTCCCCCTTGAACTGAAAAAAGTGGTTTTCAAAGTCACATCTATCTGTGTGGATGTGTACAGAGCTACAGATTACACGAGGTCTAATTTTGACAAGATTTGGTATGTGGGTACTGTGGCATCTCCAGAAGCATGTAATTGTTCAATTTTTAGAAATTTCATATTTAAATGGTGATTTTTCCATAAAAAACCCTAAACTCGGATAAATCATATTTTTACAACAGCTAAACTATTAAAATTTAGTATTTTAACTTATGGTCCTTAAAACACAAAAAAAAAATGGTAAAACAACACCAATTTCTGCAAAAGTTACGATTTAAAACAATTAGTACCTATTTTTGCAAATATTTATATCTTTCCCAAAGAGATGTACCAAAACGCTGCTCCGCCGCAGATCTAGCACTCCCCCACCGTGTACCCATTATTAGGGGTTTTGACAAGTTTATGGGAGAAAGTATGGGTCAGATTGCTGACTTACCGTCATTAGTCACACATTTCTTTTACCCTAAATCAGGCTACATGTCCTCCAGTAGCCATGAACAATATTCACCTCCCTCAAGTAACAGAAATAAAATACTTGGGCATGCACTTAGATGCAAAGCTTAATTGGAAGGCACATATCTGGACTAAAAGACATCTAAATTTTAAAACACTAAACTTAATTGTCTTCTTGGATTTAAATCAAAACTTAGTACACAAAATAAATTGTTACTGTGCAAAACAGTTCTAAAACCAATTTGGACTGATGGTATTCAGCTTTGGGGATCAGCAAGTACCTCAAACATTGAAATTATTCAATGTTACCAATCAAAATTATTATGTAAAATTGTCAAAACACCTTGGTTTGTTACCAACAGAACACCTAATAATGATCTTCAAATTCAAACAGTCAAAGAAGAAATTACAAAATCTAGAGAAAAATCTATAAAGCTCAAATACCACTGACTCATTCACTCACTCATCACGAAATATCAGAAACCATAAGACCTAGGAAAACTTGGCAGGCATCTTCCTTTTGGGTAGTAGACGCTCACTAAGAAAGGATTTTACCCTCCGACCTCTGGGCTCCGCCCCAGAGGATCTGGAGTTTCCCATGTTAACCTTATGAGTACTCATATTTAAATGGAATTAATGAATCTTAACAGCTGTTTCAATTAAAAAAGTTGGTTCTGTTCTATGATGTTCGATAGCATTTAAGTTACAAGGATTGCCAACAGGGTGCAGCACTATTATTTCTTTTACATTTATGACAACAGCTAATTTGTAACCAAAAGGTGAGTGAGCGTAGCAATCGAACTTCAACCTGGAGGCGAGTTAGCGTAGCGAACGAGCTAACCTGAAGGCAAGTGAGCGCAGCGAACGAGCTCTAACCTAAAAGTGAGTGAGCGTAGCGAACAAACTTCAACCAGGACGTGATTGAGCCATGCGAACGAGCTCACTTATGAAGTTAAACGAGGCAAAACCCGCGGGTTCAACCAGGACGTGATTGAGCCATGCGAACGAGGTCACTGATGAAGTTAAACGGGACAAAGCCCGCGGGTACAGCTAGTACATTATAAAATTGGAAAATAATTCAAATCATCTTGCACTTAATTTATTGGACAATCACAACACCATTTACAGACTGAATGACATACGATATTGGACCTTCCATTCAGATTCGGCTAAGTGTTATCAAAATTCTCTTTGTTAGCTAGTGTTGACAGTGGTTAATCACTATGTTCTTCAAGTTAATGTTGTATTATTATTTATATCATTTGCTTATTGTTTAACTTGAACAAATTGTAAATTAAATAAAGTAAAAAAAAAGATTGCTGACGTCGTTTATGTTCTTACTTGAACAACTTACCACACAAGGTCCTCCATTTGCATTGGATGCACAGAAGCTTCCGACAGCAGCTGTAAGGTTGTAGAATTTGCTGCAATCTTCATCACTCAGAATAGTCTGGTCAATTGTTTGGATATTTTGTTCCTTTGTATAGTTCTAAAAACAATAATCATACTTAAAAACAACAGAAAAGGAATAAAAAATACCCCCGCCGCAGCAAACCTGACGCCTGAGCGAATTTCCATTTGGCTGAATTGATTTTCAATTGATCTATTTAAATAACATTAGGTTTAACGAGTACCTAGGTTTGCTGCTACAAGGAAACTAATAAAGTGTGTGTTTTAAGTAAAATAATTATTGCTTAGTATAAAATGAATATATTTGCCAAGTTTGATCAAAAGATATCCATAAACAAGCAAACTACAACATTTTACAATATTCTCCATAAGAATGACATGGGAATTTTAAATTTACCATTTTTTTAGTTTTCTCCGTAACCAATAACAGTACAAAACACTTTGATATACTGAATTGTTTGTTTTTTTAAGCTCTTTAAGAAGGTTTAGAGAAAAATTGGGAAATTTTGTGTTTTGAGGGTCAAAAGTGAGAAAAACCAATTTTTACCCCATAAAACCCTGTTCCCATGGTCTGATCATGCTGGATCGCGAACTCATTTAAGTTTATCCCACCTTACACCTTCAAACCAAATTTCATCAAAATCGGATAAAAATTACTCAAGTTATCGTGTTCACGGACATACACATATATATATATATATATATATATATATACAGTATATATCATACTTGGGAATAACGAATAGAAGTTCTATCAAATAGCACTATTCATTAGTTTTTTTGGCTAACTTCTATTTTATTCGTTTGTTTTAAATTAACTAACTAATAACTTCTATCAGTTACTTTTTACGGGACTAACTAATAACTTCTAACTAGTTAGAATTTTCAACTAACTTTCCCAATTATGCGGAAGCATCTCAAATACTGGTTATTTATTTCACGTGATCAGTGAGGGTTGCGTGCCGTGCAGGCCGTGAGAGGTCAGTGCCCTTGTAGACAAACAACGCGGGGGGTGGGGAAAGAGAAAGTCAAAGTCCAGTTGCTTTGGAATGCAGTGGGCCTGTGGAAGGGTAGTGACGGCCATTATCAACACCCTAAGCACTGATGGGTGGGAAGGGGAAATGTTTGTTTGGTGATTGATATATCATCTCAAGTGTCAAAACCTTGTCTTTAGTTGATGTTCATTATCTGACAAGTTTTATGTCATTTGTTTATGTTGTAGTAATGTAAATAAATGTGACAATGTTTGATTAAAACACAAGTACCAGGGGACCGATCTTGCTCGAGGTGTTTGATTTGTTCAAGAGGTAAAAAATAGAGCTTATAAGCCTACAAATATTTTCAGTCTTACTATACTACGATTAATTAAGTAGTAAAGTCAATTCGTTTTTGTTAGACATCCACTTATCCTCAATTTAGTCTACAAACAAAACTTTTTAATTTGGACGATCAATCTATAAAATGTCCACAATAAGCTTCAATCAATATAAATCTCATGATACATAACATCTGTTATCTGACGACCGTTATTGCATTAAGTCACTGGGATCGTGGAACGTTGCAACTATAATTACGGGATGGTGTAATAACGCATCAATTCGTGCGGTGCATCGTCAAAAAATACAAATCTCCTTGGCCTTTCCTTTAGATTTTTAGTTCAATGTCAGTGTATATTGTTTTGCAGTAAAACACTTAATGTTTTTGAACAGTCGTAATTATCCCTTTGGTTAAGTAAGACATCGTACAATGCAAATGTATTATACAAGCAATTTTCAATAGCTTTGAAATTGGAGGAAATCGTAGGAGCCATTTTTAAAATCATATCTTGCGCAATCTTTACTCATATTATAGTATATATTAGTAACCAAGATGTGACATTAAAAAATACTTTAAAACAACTGCCTAGTGAACAACTAATTTCTACTAAAACTAACTTTATTTTCTATCAGTTAGTTTTTCAACTAACTAATAACTTCTATAAGTTACTTTTTAAACTAACTAACTTATAACTTCTATCAGTTACTTTTTACGGGACTAACTTATAACTTCTAACTAGTTAGAATTTTTGACTAACTTTCCCAACTATGATATATATATATATATATACATATATAAAAATTTGAACGAGTGGTGTTTTTGGCCTCTGGGGACATCAAAATGAAAAAGTAAATCGGTCCCGGGCCTAAGTCTTACCATGAGACCTACGGTAATAGCTACTTCCCTATAGGGAAATTCGCTAAAATAGTATATTTCAAAAAGGGTTATAAACACTGGCTATATAGGACGTTTATTGACATTCATACTCAGCTAAGGATACACAGCTTGTCTTAAATAACTTAAAGAAATCAATCTTTGTGTTAATGGTGAATCTGGAGCAGAGGATATATTGTAGTATTATAGGACTCAGCCTTATTCAAATGATACTTGGTACTATACGCTGCTAAAATGCAAAATTTCAGATTTTTCTGCATCATTACAATTATTTTATCATTAAATTAAGTTGGAGATACAGTTTTACAGGTTTTAACCTGAATATGAGTGTAGAATAGTGGGAGATGCATTGTGTATAGTTTTGTTACTAAGCTGATACATTAGCCAGGATCATATTTTTTTCTCTATGATTTTAGTTTTTATCAGAACCACTTGAGGGGCATTATAAATGTTTATTTAACATACAGGGTTGGGCAAAATTATGGTCACTACCAGTAAACTTTTGAATGGCCTACATCAGAAAAACCAAACTATGCACACCTCTATATCGCATTAAAGTACGCTTTCTTGTTGGTAGTATCAAAACTCTAGCATATATTTTTTCAACTGTAGGAGTGTTTTTTTAACCAATTAATAGACATTAAATTATGTTTTAAATACTCTTCCCCTGCCACGGCACATTACCTAATTCTGAATTGAAGTACTCAAGAAAGTTTTCACTGAGAGGTTCTTTGCTTCCCCAGAATCTTTCGTTCAAAACGATGGAATAGGCTTTAAAATTTTTTCCTATATTTCTTCCTTTTAATACTTTAATACTTTTAAATGAAATGGCGACCATACAAAGTCGGTATTTTAAGCCAAGTATGAATGGAGATGAGTGTGATCTTGTAGGCTTGTTAGTGACTAAGGCCGACTTATTCCTCAGACACAGCTCTTAATTAATAACCCATACAGCTAATGGCAACTTATTAGGGACCTACAGTTTATAGTGGAATCCGAACCACATATTTGCCTTGGTGTATACTAATTGGTCTAATTTTCAGGATAGAACTGTGGATAGTCATAGTACTCACTCGTGCGGTTAATCCACACCAGGGAGTATCGAATCCACAGTGCATGCCTATAAATATCCACAATTTGTAACCTCCTAGTAGCTGATTACAGGAAAACTATACAATTCCTCTAGTGTCTCAACTGAACTATTATGATCTTGTTAAATCTACATTTCACCAACAACCAAAGCATAAAAACACAAATTATAATAAAAAACTTACAGAAGAACGAACACCCCATCCAGAGACTGGGTATGTTACATTAAAGATTTTCAGTGTAGTTTTTGGCCCGTAATATCCCTTTTTTGTTGACTTGTTATTGAACTTAATGTTACTCTTCAACTTCACCAAGGCAATATTGTTGGCCCATGTGCCTGGTACGTAATCAGGATGTATGATACATTTCTCTGCTAGGATCACAGAACCTTGAGATGTCCAGTTGCTACTTCCAGCTCTGATACTGATGTAGGAAGGGTCAATCCTGAAGGAAAAAAGGGAGTATAGTGAAAGATTAAATATTTTCATTTTAACTTTTAAAGTATGAATCACATGTATTGTGAGACCTTCATTGTCATTATGGAATTCAAAATTATCATTATGTAAAGCTAAGTACATTTACGATGGATTAATTTTGTTTAAAAATTGAATATTTAGTGATTATCAAATCTGCTGATACACTTTCGCCTTATAGGCTATTTAAAAGCTAAAAGTTACCACCTTATAATTAATAGTAGTGGGTAAATTATTATTTTAAATAACCTAACACAACAAACCTAATATTTTGTTTAATAAATTAAAATTAAATTTTGTTAAAATGGTTTTAATCAAAATTGATTGGTTTTTCCTCAAGTTTTGTCAAGTTCTCGGAATTTATGAAAAAAAGATCCATGCTATAAATACACAAATTATGCACAACAGTTTAAATCTACTAAAAAATACTATGAAACTAAGTGAAAATTTTTCTAAATAACGGAGTTCTTCGTTTGACCGTATTTAATGTAAATGATGAAGAATTATTTGTGTAAAAAATAAGTGATAAAAATAACACTTGATCAGCAAAACTCCCAGTATCCCATGTATAAAACACCTCTTAATGAGAGTTCGTGAAGAGGGAGAATCAACAATAATAACCACCACAAATTGAATTTGAAGAAAATGTTAAACGTAAAAAAAGAAACTGAAAGACAATAAAGTAAATGACATGCAATATGTTCAAAATCACGGTTTTGAAAAATTTGGGTGACAAAATAATGATTAATTACCTAATTAAAATCTTAAATCCGTATATTTACCATTTCAGAAGTTTAGACATTTTTTGTAACACTAATGTAATTTGTGTATTATTTACTGTTAAGTAAAACTGATTTAATTATGCTTGTCTAGGAAATAATGAAGGTTTCAAGATTCATATACATTGTAGGCCTTTGAGTGAGATTTTACAAAGTTTAATCCTTGCTCCACTTACCAGAGACAGTTGAATGCTGTAGTCAACACCCAGGTTTTACCAACAATTACTCCAGCTCCCCAGATATTGTTGGCTATTAAAAATGCCACCTGAGAAAATTTTAACTGGTTACTCACTAATTAAAGTACTGTACCTTAAATTTTAAAACTTTTCTTTGGTACATTAATTACAGGAAATTTAGTTAGTGGAGTTTATCAGTGATCTTAATGCTTATGAAATTCCATTTTAATTGAATGGATTAAAAGGTGCATGCAAACACATTTAGTAGGAGTATCTACAATTTAATACAATATATTATATATATATTTATTATATTACTAGTGTACATGTTGCTCGAAATCGAGCAATTGCAAGGAAGTACAGGAGTTATTTATAAACAAATAACTTGTTTAGAAACTAATAACAGTCATAAGTTCCGATGATTTTAAAAGAGTCAACTAAATAGGTAGTTTTTAGTAGTCAACTATAATGGAAATACTCACAATTTACATAACGATCCTATTCCAGTTTAAAGAGTTGACTTATAACAATCAACCTGCCCATGGACGGGAAAAGGTAAGCTTACAATTTAAGTCTTCGAAAAAAGGCTGTCAAATTTTATAAAGTACCGTACCTAAGTTATTTAGCCAATTTGTAGACAATAAGGTGTAGGCTACTTTAATCTCTACTCAAAAACTGGCAGAACTCTGAAATGGTGTTATTTATCATAGCCTTACTCATATGCCAAATCCTTAAAATAAAAATTCTATAATTAATAACTTGTATCATTAAACACAAACCGACATCCAAAACTATACACATCTTTAATACAACATAGATAATTTACACATCGACTGTTTACAATTAACATGTGTTCTTCTTCTCACTTTTAATTTTGCTTCGCAACGGGAAAATCTGTTTCATAATCATTGAAATAGATTTAAAATAAATAATCTATCACAAAGTTTAAGATTAAATAAACCTACCACATAGTTATTTAATTTTTCTGGATCAGCTGTCTGAAATTGTAAAATAGGCATTTGACAGTTCTGGTTGTTTACATGTCAAAGCAAATGTAAACATTGTGAGTTTTCTCATGCTTCCATGGAGACCAATTATTAATTTTTAATTTCTGACAACAGCTGGAGTTTCAAAACAATGTTTGTTTCCCATGTTAATCTTATGGAGAAATACGGAACTTTAAAGGGCCCCAGGGCCTCACTCTCTAATTATTTACCTAAAAAGAAAGTTTCCTGCACAACTTCACGTTACACTCTTTCCAATGACACCAAAAACATGTCAATCGGTTCAGTAGTTTCGGAGGAGTAATTGTCACAAAAATCCTGCTTGCGTATTAAATAAGTACTAGTGTACCTGTTGCTCGAAATCGAGCAATTTTCAAGTACCGGTATTATACAGAAGTTATTTTAAAACTACAGTAATAACGGTCATAATATTCGATGAGTTTAAAAGACCCGACTAAATACTTATGTAGCTAATTGAAATACTCACGCTATTTAATAGCGCTTTGAAATAATAAATGCTTCTTGTAAAAATATTTTAGAATTTTTTGGACCCGACCTTATTTTTTAGTGTTTTCTACAAATGTTTCCCATCTTAAAGCTATTACCAGTGAACATTTCTTGCATGTATTTATTTGATCTGACTTTAGGTAGGTTTACTTTACCACTGTGACAACATGAAGTGTCCATATTCTTCATGGTTTTTTTTTACTTCCAAAAAGTTGCTTAGCATAACTGGCAAAAATGATTCATCTCCCCAAGTGATTGTGTACCTGGATTCCTTACTGTGAGACCAGGCCTCTCCTCTACTCTTCCCATAAGTATAAGATTTCCTATTAATTGTCTCATCCTCCTGTTTTCAATATTTCTCCTTTAAACTCAAGAAATTGTCTGTTCTTCCAACAAAACTGATTGACTGTTTAGATTTGTCTATAACCTCCTAAATATTACAAACATCAATATTTACTCCCAAAAAGCTGGTGAGTTTCTTTTTATATACAGCTGTTTTTGTTTTACAATTTGATTTCAATGTAACTCTTATGGGAAAAATGCGACCTTTGAGAGCGTCTCGTGCCCTTAAGGGTAAGACTTTTTAAATTCTAAAACCTTTATGCAATACTACGAATTGAGACGAATTATTTGACACCTCAAACGTTAAAATCGATCCAGAAATAACGGAGGAGTTTTGTTCACAAAAAACAGCCTTCACGTATTAATATAAGAGATAGATAATAAAACTAGATTTTAGTGAAGGTTATAAAATTATTTTACTTATTAATATTACATTATTATTAATTATTGTTATTTTATGGGGGTTTTTATGGGAAAATAACATAAGTTACAACAACTTTTGATCTCTAATTTTTATGGTAATTTGGGATTTGTATCAACTTGTTCAGAATTTAAAGGATATAACAAAAAAAAAAAAGAAAAAAACATAGGCCTAGCACTAAATAAAAAAAATTTGTGGCATTTTCGAGAAAAATCCAATTTTTCTGTTAATTTATGGAAAAATCCCCATTAAAAAACAAAATTTTAAAAAATGAAGAAAAACCCTTCAGATACCGTGGGTTAGTACATACATACCAAATTTAATCAAAATTGGACCACAGGCTCTGTAAACATCCACACATATAGACACACACACACACACACACAAACATCACTTTGAAAACCATTCAGTTAGATATGACCCATTCAGGGAGACCCAAAACGGATATATCCACTCAAAAATTAAACTCGAAAATTTTGAAGAAAACGATACTTCCTCCATATAGGCCCTACTTTGTATAGAGGGAGAAAGTAATAGACCTTCGACGTTATTGGCTTTTACAATTCAAGGATTAACCAAAAATTTTTGTTATAATTTTTCAAAAAACCACATTTTATGATGGGTTTTGAATATTGATATGGTCTTAATGACTAACAGTTACCCACCCCATGTACCGGTACTGTTACAGGTTAGTATAAGATTTCTGTGGTTAGTTTATGAATAATAAAATATTTTATTTATGTATATAAATTTGTCTATTTAGCTGTATTTGATTGTACATGATCCCAAAAAATTACCAAGCTGTAATGCTCATACAACAGTTAAATCAGAATAAGGACTTGGTGTTTGATTACCAAGTAAAGCTCTTACAATAAACATGGCTACCCACAATATTTTGGAACATTTGGATCAAATGCTTGTTTGCCTTTGCTCAATGCAGTTTTGCGAGTAACATTAAAATACAGCCTATTGATTTGTTTGAATTAATCTTAAAAGTCTATTTACATTACAAAATACAAGAATTAAAACTTACATCAATCGGGTATTGGTCAATAGTTGTAAAATCTCCATTAATGATCCTCAATTTGTTCTCATATTTTTCAATCTCGTTGGTTATTACAAATGCGCTTCCGTAGAAAATTCCTGAAAAAAAGACGTTTTTATTTAGTTGAGATGTTGTTTTTACACTAAAAGATGAATTTTAAGGAATGCATTGCCTCTTTAATTAGTTATGTTACTCTTGTACAGTAGACTTTCTCTTATCCATACACACTTTACCGGACACCTTTTAACCGGACATCGGTTTAACTGGACTACACTCGGCGGAAATGAAATGTCTTTAACCGGAAAATTTTTATCAGCACATTGATTTAACCGGACTAGATAGGCAGGAAATGGGGGGTACTGAAACGACTGTTCTTGTGAAAAAGATTTGAGACCAGTGATCACGTGTCTAAATACAATGCTCTCCTAAATTTAAGTCGAATACCACAGTAAACAGTCCGTTTTAGCAAGTTTTTGAGGACGTTGGTTTAACCAGAAAAACTGTTATCCGGACTGGCCTCGATTCCAAGGAGTTCGGATAAGAGGGAGTCTACTGTACTCCTTATCTGGCTTTGGAGTTCGAATGGTTGTTAAAATACATAGATCCAATATCATCTAATACAGTCAACTAGGTGAAACCCGTCGAAATCGACGGTTACTTTCAAGGCTTACGTTAATTCATCTAACTGCGATAAATTCGGGTGAAATATACATATTTTGAGCATTGTTTAAAGAGTAAAAAGTATAAAAACAATAATGATATTAATTGCGTTAGTTGACAAATTTGGTTGATCATTCAATGAATAAAATATTCCACATACCGTACGTCATAGGAGTTATTATTAGTATGTTATATGGTATCTCTTCTTTTGGAATAACCTTTAAATAGTATTAAAATCGTATTAGTGGATCTTTTGTAGCTAAACACTTCAGTGATTTCATCGGTGTAATGTGATTTTATTTCAAAAGAATATATTTTTTGGGAAGACATATTCTAACTTCAAAGGGAGGTACGGTATATCCGTTACAGTGTAAGTTTGATTTTTCCTTCGTCACGTCGCGTCAGTTCATATCGTACTTCTGTGCCAATCCGTGCCTCTAGCATAGTTTTAATATATTGATTGTGGGGTTACTGTTAAAGCTGGAATTCCTTGACATGGGGGATGACAGTTAGTTGTCTCAGCCTTATCAATAACATAAAGTTGTCAATATAATCTCTCCCCATGGCATAGCAATGGGACATTTCCAAAAAGCAAAAATACTGTAAATTGGCTCTTACGTATACACTGACGTTTACATATTGTAAATCAACGTATATTATAAAGGATTAAATGTGATCTAGTTTAAAAGTAATATGACCTTTTTGTCATGACAGTAGCGATTTTATCCAAACATATACAGATACGAATGACATAGATTGAGCACAACGTCATCATTGACCTAGGATAGGGGCCTACTGCAATTAGACTAACCATCCTTTTATGAAATATAAAAAGTTGTTTGGCGTGTGTTTAGTTGTGGTTACGTTTGGAGGTGCTGAATATTTTATAGTTTAAATAAATGAATATGGGGAATTACGGTGTACATTGATTCAATGAGGGTGGTTAAATTATTAAGGGTACAGTATTAGAACTGATAACGGAATGGATAACAAACATAGACAATTAATTACATCACTAGCTTTACTAGCGTGTTTTACGTTTTAAATTTCTTCAACATGTGACCAGTTCTTTTGTTCAAATGAATATTATTTTATTTTTGACTCAGCTGTTTACCAAAACAAACTATATGTTGTTGTTTTAGCGAATTTCCCATATAGGGAATAAGCTATTACCGTAGTACTCATGGTAAGACCTGGACGCGGGACCGATTTTTTTTTTTTCAGGTCCCTAGAGGCAAAAACACCATTCGTTCAAATTCATTAAAAATAACTAAAAAAGGGTACTATGGTGTATTATTTATTAATATTAATTACAGTAGCCCTACATGTGAACAGTATCAAATATTATATATTTATATATATACAGGGTGTTGAAAATGTCTGGAACCAACATTATATCTGGTGAGTGGTTAAAGAAAAACAACTGATATTTCGTATACGGATATACTATGGTTTTACCTATCTTTTGGTGCCTTGTGAAATTTTTTACCACTTATAGGAAACGTCACGTAGAGGATGCAGTAAAAAGTTTTAATGGAAGCCTATGGTAAATGATACATCATTTTAAAGGCCATTTTTTTCTAAGTAAGGAGCCACAAGTTTCATCTCAAAAGGACCACCCTAGCAAAAATGGCGACTGTTTCAAATTTAAAAACCCACTTATAGGGAACGTCCTGTGGAGGATGCAGTAAAAAGTTTTAATGGAAGCCTATGGTAAATGATACATCATTTAAAAGGCCATTTTCTTCTGAGTAAGGAGCCACAAGTTTCATCTCAAAAGGACCACCCTAGCAAAAATGGCGACTGTTTGAAATTTAAAATTCAATTATTTTCAAAAACTTCAAACAGTCACCATTTTCGCTAGGGTGGTCCTTTTGAGATGAAACTTGTGGCTCCTTACTAAAAAAAAAATGGCCTTTTAAATGATGTATCATTTACCATAGGCTTCCATTAAAACTTTTTACTGCATCCTCCACAGGACGTTCCCTATAAGTGGTAAAAAATTTCATAAGGCACCAAAAGATAAGTAAAACCATGTATAACCATACACAAAATATCAGTTGTATTTCTTTAACCACTCACCAGATATAATGCTGGTTCCAGACATTTTCAACACCCTGTATGTGTGTCCGTCAGCACGATAACTCGAGCAAAACTGATCCGATTTTGATGAAATTTGGTACAAACGTGTAAACGTACGTTTATTCGAACGAGTTCGCGATCCAGCATGATCGGACCATGGGAACGAGGGTTTACGGGGGGTTTTATGGGGTAAAAATAGGTTTTTCCCATTTTTGACCCAAAAAAACATAAAATTTTGCAATTTCTTTCCAAACTATTTTGTAGAGCTTAAAAAAACAAATAATTTAGTACATTGAAGCGTTATTATGCGCCTAATGGTTACCGAGAAAATTCCAAAAAAAAAATTCCCATGTTATTCTTATGGAGAATAAGTAAACTGTTGTAGTTTGCTTGTTTGTGAACATATTTTGATCAAATTTGGAAAATGTTTTTATTTCTTACTAACTATTCACATTTTACAAAAAAAAAAAAAAAAACAGTTTTACCCTCCCTGATGCAGCAAACCTAAGTACTTGTTAAACTAATTCTATTTAAATCAAGAATAAATGTTATATTTTTAAGTAGACATTTCAGTGTAAATCCAATCAGTCAAATGGAAATTTGCTTAGTCTGCAGGTTTGCTGCGGCTGCGGCGGGGGTATTTACTTTTCTTTGTTTACACTTATTTATTTAGCAATTGATGCAGTGAAATTGATATAAAGGATATATGTGTGGACGATTCGTTTAATGATGTCTGGACACCAACGTTATAATTAAGTGTACTGTGTGTGAATTTTATTGGATGTTTTCGTTTTATTTTAGGGAGTTTCTATTCAGACCTACTGGAAATTGTGTATAGTATGAGTAATTGTATTGTGTTGATATTGATTATGGAAGAGGCAGGTATAAGATGGAATTGGAAGGTGATATCGTTGACTAGGCCTATACACTTTCTCAATTGATAATTACTCTTTCTACTGTAGGCTGCTATAAAATTTGTCTTTATGCGTGTAAGTTAGCTGTTCTGATTTATACACAGTTTTAACTAACTACTCCCGTACGTAGGACGGGCTAACACCTCGTTAAGGATTAAGTTCATAATATTAAGAAATGAGTAAGGATAGAAGGAACAAGGAGTAGAGAGTTAGTGGCCCAGATAAGTGAGCCAAGTGTGTACCAATGTTTAAGTTATTTCGGGACAACATCTTAGTTCACATATGTGAAACAGAGAAACTCTCGTTGATTACGTGTTGTCAGAGTAAGAAAGCTAATGATGTTATTCAAACTAATTTGGCACCAACATTAATCTTATTATGACTTTGTGTCTACTTCTAATTGGCTGAGGTGACAAAAGATTTAACTTGAGGACTTCATAATTGTTTCCTCGTTTTGTTTGGAACTTCTTTCAGTGACTGTAGAGTATAGAGGTGAATCGAATCAGTTAAACAGGCATACATTTTAGTGCAACAGCTGATTTGTTTTGATAGGACAGTGGTAGTGATGTAAAATACCCAGGTATATAAAACTCGGGGTAAATACCCTGGGTATTTACCCGGGTAAATACCCAAAATCCATAAATACCTGGGTATTTTGGGTATTTATAAAATCAATTGAAATTCATTTATATTTACCCCTAAATATGTTATTGTTATTACATGATAAATTAGGATAGTCAATAACACCTTTTAACTTGAAGCTTTGCTTGCTTAATGATTTAGCACTTTTTTTTAATAATACATAAAGTTTCTAAATAAGCATGGGGTTTTGTGTCTTAAATCGAGTAACATCAGTTAAATTTAACTCACTAAAAATAGTATATATTAAAAAAGGCTGTGGCTATTTCAATTTTTATAATTTCATAAATTTATAACCAATAAAAAAAAAACTTAAACAAAATTATTTTAATTTATAAATATCCAGGAATTGTTGGGTACTTATGATGCAAAATTTTTATTGTATAAATGGTTTGGAAGGCTAGACAGACCTAAGGCCTATTTGACATCTAGGCAGAATGATACTTTTAAGTAGGCTTAATTAAACTTTTCTGTGTTACCGCTTGGTTGGAAACAATAATATATTTGGATAAACCTACTAAAAAAACGTATCTCCTGTTTTTTGGTCGAACCTAATATAATTTTGAAAGATTTATTGTGCTATAGATTCCAATGTTTTGTATCACAAGTTGGCCTTTATGAAATTAGGCTAGTTTTTTTTTTTTTTTTTTTTTTTTTTTATACCATTGATACCAACTTAAGATTTAGAACAAAAATATTAAATCCTGCCATCCTACAGATTGAATTTTAAAATTATTTTTCTTAAGTTGTTTACACATAGGCTACTACTAGGTTAAATTTTCCTGTCTTTCTAAATAATAATTATTAGGTACTTTGCAAATTATTTATTTTTTTTCACTTTCAATCAAATAAATTCATCTATCTATCATAGAAATTAAAAAATCATAAGTAGTCAGGACCAGTGCAGCAACCATGCGACCAGGGTATTTATTGCGATGATAACCAGAAGTAAAATGCCAGTAGTGACCATATGAAATTTTGTTTAACACATTTTATCATCATTTTACTATCCTTGCAAGGTAATAATTGCAAAAAAACATCTAAATCTTCTCTAACTTTAATAAAAATTATAAATACCCAGTTTTTGGGTATTTACCCGGGCCTGGGGTAAATACCCGGGTAAAAACCCAATTTATATTTACCTACCCACTGGGTATTTACCCGGCTCACATCACTAGACAGTGGTGTTGCCACTTTAGTCTACTAGTCTTATTTTCCTGGTCTGGAACCGATCAGAACCGAACCTAGTGGGGAATTGTGGGAGAGCCCCTGATTTAAGAATTTTTTTTTTACTTTGATAAAGGTTTTTACGTTTTATGTTTACATATTTAATACAGTCTGGGTGAATTTAAATGTTGATGAGTGCACAGGTGTGTTGCGATTGGGGTTTAATATATTTGGACTTATCTAAAAGTAAAATAGTTTTCTGTGCTGCATTCTGGGGAAACATTGTGGCACTATTCCAAATCATGACTAATACCATAGGCAAATAGAATAAATATAGACCGTCAGCTGTGCTGCGGTTAGAGATCCATGCAGTGGTCCAAAAGGCAGTGCTCCGAAAGGCACTGGTTCGAAACTCATTTTCGGACTACCGCCTTTCTGAGTACTGCCTTTCGGAGCAGTGCCTGACCATGCTAAATCTGTTGGACCAGTGCCTCATCTTTGTATTATTTTCGAACCACTGCCTCTCGGACCACTGTCTTTCGGAGCAGTGCCTGAACGTGCAGATTGTTTCGAACCAGTGCCTTAGCAATGCATTCTTTTCTGACCACTGCCTTTCGGAGTAACGCCTGGGCTCCAACTTTGGTTGAGGGAGGAACAAGAACCGAAGGCGGAGACCCGTTGTAGGGGAAGGAGGGGTGTGTCAGTGGTGGGCGGAGTCAGAATGCCACGGTCATTGACGAGACCTTCTCTGGAGGAATAACCCACCACCACCGCGCCATCCCGAGTGCTTCCGAACCATAACAAATATAGCCGAGGTCCGAATATAACGCCTTGTGTCGTCCGTCTGGAATCGGGACAGCGGAATTGAAATCGGAACGAAACATCGGAGCGATTTCTTCCAATCCCGAACCTCCTTTGAACACTGATAGGAATAGAGTAGCCGTTTGATGATGTTATGAAATTAATTAAAACTATTTGTAGACTGATTATTAAAAGTTAAAAAATCCTATATAAGCCAAACTAATCCTTTAATCTTCTTCAGTATATATTTATCCTTATAAAAAATCTCCTATGTATTCTGGAAAATAAATAGTGAATTTCAATCTACCTATAGTTGGGCAACAGTTTTAAAGTAATTTTGAAAATACTTTATAGTTAAATGCAAAAAGTTTTGTGGAAATAAATTATATTTTACATGTTTAGACGCAATAATAACAAGTAAGTCGATTTTTTTGTAAACATATCCCTTATTTTAATTACTGAAAATGAAGAACCAGGTTAGAGGTTACATATCTCCCCCACCCAAAACACCGAATTTCCACCTGTCCCCTAGTGAGTTGGGGTTATTTGACACTTTGGATACTGGAATATACCATTGAAATTGAATACCGCAAGTAACTTATATATCTCATTAAGAAACAGATGTACGGTAGCATTGACTTTAGAAAAGTAACGGATTAATATGCTAGCTCCGCTCAATATTGCAAGCAGACACGTGCATTGTAGACCTAGTTTAGTTCAACTTATAAGGTATTGGTTCTTAGTTGTTTAACTTAGTTACTTACCAAACTTTAATAAGTTATTTGGGCTCGTATAACCTGGCAGCTGCTTTATAGAAAGCATGCAGTCTTTCTTTATCTGGATTCCTTTTCTTAAATTGGTACTCGGCCAAGTCGCCTGCAGGATCTTTCGACTTATCCGGGCAATAAGGTATATCTTGTAGGCCTATATCACAACCACTTGCATTTGCTTCAATTGGGGAATCCCCACTGTGATTCACAGACTTAAATGCTCAAAACTGTATTCTTGTAGTTTGCACCACCACTTCCAGCTAGGCCTATTTGTAACAACAGTGGTGCCAGGAAGTACCCAACGCTTGATTAGTTGCACTAGTTTCTTTCTGGAAATATCAGGGACGAGTATAAAAAAGGTATTTTTAGTCCCTCTTTGACTGCCCCCCAAGACAAAGTTCTTTTTCACTCGCCTAACCTGATTGTATTTAGGCCTATTCCTTTTAAAATCGGCTGCGACAATGTCAACTAATTCACCTGGCCCACCCAATCTCTTTGAATGAATGAGACAATCATTTATCAGGACCTCGCGAATTACACTAGCCCATTCCAAAATGGTTCTGCGAGCGCTCTTCAAGTTTGTTTCAATAGTCCTATGCCTATGACGGGCTGGATTCAGAAACATAAAATGGTTGACTAATTGCCAAAGTTTAAGTAATTTTATTCTTGCTTTGCTATAAAACGTATTTGCTCTAGCAGACAGTTTCCAATTGCACTTTTTACCCTTCTTGTTATTGATCCTCACAGTCTTAAGACACCTAAACTCCCATCCAGATTTCAATTTTAATACATTATTACATTTGAAACAGTTTATTTGGGTTTTAATAACCCCGTGATCAATAAAAAACTGCTTAATATCTTCTTCATCCAGATTCATTGAATCTACATAGTTTAACTCACAATTATTACACAGTTTAGTCATGAGGTAGGCCTATTGATTTGAGTAAAAATATTTGTTTCTTTCTTTTAGCTCATATCATCCTAAAGCCTGGTTTACACGGGTAGAGTTGTGGGTAGAGTAGAGTTTCTAGTAGAGTAACTCTACCCGTGTAAACACCCACTAGCGCCTAGTAGCTAGTATAGTAGATAGTAGGTGGTAGAGTAGAGTTACTAGCAACATGTGGCATAGTAGCTCTACTCTACTTCCCCCACCACTAGCAAAATTGTCACTCTCCTGCACACTATACTTGTGTAAATGTGATCCGCGGCAGTAGAGTAGAGTTTTTAGTAGAGTGACACTGTCTTCTAACTGGTTTAGAACACTCGTTTTGGGAATGGAGGCGGAACACACAATTCACAAACTATCATCAACACTCTACTATGTGTGAACAGTCGCTTGCTTAAAATCGGTAGAGTGGACAAGAAAGTAGCTCTACTATAAACTCTACACTACCCACAACTCTACCCGTGTAAACCAGGCTTAAGAGCTAACAAACAAGTTGAACTGGTTGAACTAGGCGTAGGGGCCTAAATCTAACCTCAATTTTTCACTTAGACCTATAAGGTTAATTAATCAACTAATTGTAGTCATAATCCTCGACAACTCGAAATGAGTCTTCAACTATAACAACACAACCAAACCACTACACTATTAATACTCTACCACCTTCTTTTAGTAGAGTTCACACTACAGTGACTACAGTTCAGCTCACTGTCAAATGTCAATAAAATCAATAAAATCAAAATCCATTCAAAACAAAAGCTTGAAGAAGGAGAGCGCTAGTTCACCACTTTTTTCGTCTGCTGGCTAGTAGGAGTAGAAAAGAAACCAAAAGAAACCTACGAAATTAAGATTTGACTTGTCTTGCTAGTAGGCCTCACTGAGCTAAAATTATAACTGGAGGTAGCACTGCCATGGCAGAAGTCTGTCAAGAGCGTGTCGCTGATTTTGTTAGGTTGGTATAGCAGTGAGTTTTTTTAACCAATGATATGGCTTCTACTAGGTGGCGTTCGCAGAGGCATCCACAAAATTGAGCGGAGTCATCAAGGGTTCATATTATATTGTTTTTGTCATACTGCAGTAAAATCGGTCGTTTTTAATACCTGCGTTGCGGGTCTAATGTAGCATTTTTACTCTTAAGGGAGTAAAAATAGTTTTTAGCCTCTATGGAGTAAAAATCAGCTGTTGTCAACTCAGTTGTAAATTTCTATTATAAACGACTGCATGTATCGAAATATGTATCGATTCGTGCTTCGTAATCATTTTAACCCACAGTCTACAGTCTCTTCACATAGCATTTTAGCATTGCAGATACATCAATCCATTCCCTCACTCAACACTTCTCACCTTTACTACTTCCTTCACCACCCCCTACGTCGTGGACCTGTTTCCCTCTCTTCCCATAGCCTTTTAGGATTACAGATACATTAATGCAATTGCCAAAGACAGTTCCCACACTCAGCACTGCCAGCCTTTACTACTTCCTTCACCATTTCCTACGTCGTGGGGCCTGTTTCCTTCCCTTCTCATGGCATTTTAGGATTGAAGATACATTAATCTAACTGCCACAGACGGTTCTCACACAATGGCCATACTTTACTACTTCCTACATCGTGGACCTGTTTCCATCACTTCCCATACCATTTTAGTATTTTAGATACGTTAATCTAATTGCCACAAACATTGCCCACACTCCGCACTGCTAGCCTTTACAACTTTTTTTCATTATTTTCTATGTCGTGGGCATGCTTTCATCCCTTATCATAGCATTTCAGCATTGCAGATACATTAATCCAACTGCTACAAACGGTTTCCAGTTCCCACACTCCACACTGCTCACCTTACTATTTCCTTCACCTCTTCTTACGTCGCGGACCTGTTTCCCTCCCTTTCCCTAGAATTTTAAGATTGTAGATACCTTAATCTAATCGTCATAAACAGTTCTTACACTCCAGACAGCTCGCCTTTACTACTTCCTTCACCACTTCCTACGTCACGGACCTGTTTCCCCCCCTTTCTATAGCATTTTAGGATTGCAGATACCTTAATCTAATCGTCATAAACAGTTCCCACACTCCGGACAGCTCGCCTTTACTACTTCCTTCACCACTTCCTACGTCACGGACCTGTTTTCCTCCCTTTCTATAGCATTTTAGGATTACAGATACCTTAATCTAATCGTCATAAACAGTTCCCACACTCCGGACAACTCGCCTTTACTACTTCCTTCACCACTTCCTACGTCTCGGACCTGTTTCCATCCCTTTCCATAGCATTATTGGATTGCAAATACCATTAATCTATTGGTCATAAAGAGATCCCACACTCTGGACTGCTTGCCTTTACTACTTCCTTCACTACTTCCTACGTCACGGACCTGTTTTCCTCCCTTTCTATAGCATTTTAGGATTACAGATACCTTAATCTAATCGTCATAAACAGTTCCCACACTCCGGACAACTCGCCTTTACTACTTCCTTCACCACTTCTTACGTCGCGGACCTGTTTCCCTCCCTTTCCCTAGAATTTTAAGATTGTAGATACCTTAATCTAATCGTCATAAACAGTTCTTACACTCCAGACAGCTCGCCTTTACTACTTCCTTCACCACTTCCTACGTCACGGACCTGTTTCCCCCCCTTTCTATAGCATTTTAGGATTGCAGATACCTTAATCTAATCGTCATAAACAGTTCCCACACTCCGGACAGCTCGCCTTTACTACTTCCTTCACCACTTCCTACGTCACGGACCTGTTTTCCTCCCTTTCTATAGCATTTTAGGATTACAGATACCTTAATCTAATCGTCATAAACAGTTCCCACACTCCGGACAACTCGCCTTTACTACTTCCTTCACCACTTCCTACGTCTCGGACCTGTTTCCATCCCTTTCCATAGCATTATTGGATTGCAAATACCATTAATCTATTGGTCATAAAGAGATCCCACACTCTGGACTGCTTGCCTTTACTACTTCCTTCACTACTTCCTACGTCACGGACCTGTTTCCCTCCCTTTCTATAGCATTTTAGGATTGCAGATACCTTAATCTAATCGTCATAAACAGTTCCCACACTCCGGAAAGCTCGCCTTTACTACTTCCTTCACCACTTCCTACGTCACGGACCTGTTTTCCTCCCTTTCTATAGCATTTTAGGATTACGGATACCTTTATCTAATCGTCATAAACAGTTCCCACACTCCGGACAACTCGCCTTAACTACTTCCTTCACCACTTCCTACGTCTCGGACCTGTTTCCCTCCCTTTCCTTAGCATTATTGGATTGCAAATACCTTAATCTGTTGGTCATAAACAGATCCCACACTCCGGACAACTCGCGTTTACTACTTCCTTCACCACTTCCTACGTCTCGGACCTGTTTCCATCCCTTTCCATAGCATTATTGGATTGCAAATACCATTAATCTATTGGTCATAAAGAGATCCCACACTCTGGACTGCTTGCCTTTACTACTTCCTTCACTACTTCCTACGTCACGGACCTGTTTCCCTCCCTTTCTATAGCATTTTAGGATTGCAGATACCTTAATCTAATCGTCATAAACAGTTCCCACACTCCGGAAAGCTCGCCTTTACTACTTCCTTCACCACTTCCTACGTCACGGACCTGTTTTCCTCCCTTTCTATAGCATTTTAGGATTACGGATACCTTTATCTAATCGTCATAAACAGTTCCCACACTCCGGACAACTCGCCTTTACTACTTCCTTCACCACTTCCTACGTCTCGGACCGGTTTCCCTCCCTTTCCTTAGCATTATTGGATTGCAAATACCTTAATCTGTTGGTCATAAACAGATCCCACACTCCTAACAACTCGCCTTTACTACTTCCTTCACCACTTCCTACGTCACGGACCTGTTTCCCTCCCTTTTCATAGCATTTTAGGATTGCAGATACCTTAATCTAATCGTCATAAACAGTTCCCACACTCCGGAAAGCTCGCCTTTACTACTTCCTTCACCACTTCCTACGTCACGGACCTGTTTTCCTCCCTTTCTATAGCATTTTAGGATTACGGATACCTTTATCTAATCGTCATAAACAGTTCCCACACTCCGGACAGCTCGCATTTACTACTTCCTTCACCCCTTCCTACGTCACGGACCTGTTTCCATCCCTTTCCATAGCATTATTGGATTGCAAATACCATTAATCTATTGGTCATAAAGAGATCCCACACTCTGGACTGCTTGCCTTTACTACTTCCTTCACTACTTCCTACGTCACGGACCTGTTTCCATCCCCTTCCATAGCATCATAGGATTGCAAATACCTTAATCTAATGTTAATAAACAGATCCCATACCCCGAAAAGCTCACCTTTACTACTTCCTTCACCACTTCCTAGGTCACGGACCTGTTTCCTACCCTTCCAATAGCATTTTAAGATTGCAGATACCTTAATCTAATCGTCATAGACAGTTCCCACACTCCAGACAGCTCGCCAGCTCACCTTGACTACTTCCTTTACCACTTCCTACGTCGCGGACCCGTTTTCCTCCCTTCCCATAGAATTTTAGGAATGCAGATACCTAAATCGAATCGTCATAAACAGTTTCCACACTCCAGACTGCTCACCTTTACTACTTTCTTGACCACTTCCTACGTCACGGGCCTCAAGCTAGTGCCGTCATTTGATTATATATATGATCAATACCGTTTATGTTCTAATATCTGTGAAATAATGCTATCAGCTATTTTTTTATCTACTGCATTCAAAAGTCAACAGCTGATCAATGTCTTTGTTTATGTGTCAAATACTGCTTCCATAAGGATTACATTGAAACTTTGAGACCCAGTGGGGCGGATTCCTGAGAGACTTTTTTAACGCCATATAGATGTTAGAGTAGATATATTCATGTCACTTCTGGGCCAAAAAAGGAGCCACTCAAAAATTAAATGAATTTTCCTATTTTTTTATACAATATGCTATATTTTTTACCCTTTTAGGTCAATTTCTAACATATTCATATTTTTCTAGAAAAAGTATATAA